AATGTTCTAAAATTGCTAAAGATCAATTTTTTTCGATGTCTTCCTACAACTACAATATGAATGTTTTTTAAAAACATCTTGATATAAAGATCATGTAACATGTTAGAAATTTTAGAGTAGTGTTTCCGTAATTCTTTGTGAAATAAAGGCAATTTTTAAAACAATTATAAAAAACTGCTCTAAGCTTTGTTTACTTTTTTCTATGTAAGCATCAAAGGAAATAGAAAAATTGATACTAGCCTCATATCTGGCAAACATTTTGTTTTTTCGAAAATTTAAAAAAAATAACATATCATAACAACAAAGAGTATCTAGAAACAATGTCTAGATATTTTTATTTTGATGAAAATCTGTCCAAAAGTAGTGGTGCTAAAACACTACGTACTTTCCCGCCCGTACTTTCACGCTTAAATTACGCGAAACGTATTCAAATTTTCGAAAAATTGTACTTGATCTTATTTCAAAATCTATCTTTAAGGAACAGCTTTCTTTAAGGGAAATATCTTTATCTTCATAATTGTAATTGGTGTAAGACTCACACAAAAGCTGCACAGTTGGTGCAAAAAAATATATAACATATTTTCAAAGGCCGCTCCAACTTGTTGTATGCTTAAAAATGAAGTAGGAACGCTTAAAAGAATTGCGCAAATCTTATTTTCGTTAACTCTCTGAAGTTTCGAAAATAACAAATTTAGGTATAATACGAGAAAGTGTGAGCTGTATAATACCAATGATTTCTTATCAGGGCCTTGCAATGAACATTTTTCTATTTGTCGTTTCGTATTCGCCGTTGTACGATTACAATACTTTCTCCGTTTATGATATAAGGGCAAAAAAGTAAAATTGTAAAGTGGGAGGAAATTATTGAAAGTGGAAAGCGGAGAACTGAAAGTAATGAATAATTATAAAAAATAAACAGTGAAGGAGGAGCAACAATGTATTTGAATGGAAGGGATTTTGCGTTCGAACATTTGCTTATGCAATAGGCATCATTTCTTCAGATTCCTTGTTTGCCTTCTAATTAACACTCGTCTGCGAAGAGGTAACAGCTTCACAACTGACTACACGCACGGAAAGAAGATTCATTTACTCCTTTGCTTTCCTTCTTGAAGCTAATACATCGCTCCTGATCATTTGTATCGGTAAGTGAACATAAATATTTCACTACATTGAAAAGAAAAATCATTGTATATTTTTAGATACTTCTAATTGATTTTCTCGGCTTCGCCTTACTTCGCTGACAGAAGAGAACGTATTGTAATCGTGCGATGGAAAAGGGCAATTTTTCGACAAAAACTTTATTGCCGGGCCAAGATCTTGCTCATAAATGTAAATTATTTCTTCTAACATCTTGTGTGGTCAGAATTCACGTTTTGAGGGTTCTTGATACTTCGGTTGATGGAAAAATGTCTATTCGTTCGTCTCTCCGTTTGTGTATCTCTCCGCTGTGGTCACCGTTAGAACCTAAACTTTGCAGCTGCTCTTCCCCAAAATTGATATTTCTCGTTCAATCTGAACAAACTTGAGACCCTATGAGTTTGAAATGGATATTTTTATTTTTGTGTGTTCCTTACATGAAGACTCAACATTTTCATTTTTTCCCGAAATAGCCCTCAAGTTTTTATTAGACTTCGTCCTCGGGTGAAGAACGGTTAAAAGAAAGACATAAGTCTCATTTTCGGTGAAATTCCTAGTTTATCGAACATTGCCATCGTTATACTTTTTCGGCGTCATCCTAGAAGTACAATTTTGAAGATAGATCGTTTTATCTGAATGAAATTTGCTGTTCAATGGCAGGTATAGAAATAAGGCTAATTAAAATGTTTTAAAAATATGAAAAGATTTTATGGGATTTTTAGACATTTTAAAACAATTATTTCCCATAAACGACTCCAATTTTTTTATTTTGTTGCTATATACTTGTTCCCTAGTATATAGGAACGGAACAATTGCTCCTAGTCCCAATTCTGGCGAATTTTTTTTCTTTTTGCGAAATTTTCACTATTTTTGCTTGAAGTTTATGGAATTTGTAAAAAAACATCTTCTAGAAATTCTCTCGAAATTATTTCTTTAATATTTTCCAAGGATAGAACTACAAACGTTTTTAAATAGTGGTGCTACAGAATGGTACAGACTTTCTCGTATTAGTTTTCTATTTACCTAGGTCTTGTCCAGCAATACAAACTTGCCACATACTCTTGCCAACTGCCAACTGCCAACTACTTCCGCACAAAATACATTTTTGTTAAAAATTTTCTTAATTTGTTGGTTTCCAAATAGATCGGAAATATTATTTTAAGAATATTAAAGAACAGTAAAACATTTTCAGCCATTTTTAAGAAAATGGCGTTTAAGCGCTACCGTTAATATGAAATATGAAGCTCTCTTTCACAGAAAAGTACAGGAGTCATTTTAGAAAAAAACAAAAAAAAATCCCCAAAATGAACTTTACATCATTTTAAAAAGTAAAATTAGAACTATCCATTTGCAAAGTTTGAAGAAAAAATTGGAGCCGTTTTTAACAAAATGGCGTTTCTTTCTGAAAATGTAGATTTTTGAGCTGGTTTTAACAGAAAATGGTTGAATTTTTGCGAATCATTATGAGACATTATTTGAAGTGCAAGCACTCATAAATACAATAATGTGAACAAATTGCAGCTAATATAAATATTAGCGACATGGGAGACAAGTAAAACACACATTTTTGTAATTTTTGATAAAACAAATGAATAGAGTTATTGGCATTTACGTTAATTTACAGAATACATTTAGCATTATCCCTACCAAAAGAAGAAAGAAAAAAATTGGTGTCGTTTTTAACAACATTTTTGCCGGGGGACTTCAAGATACGTACCCCCCAAATTTTATAGAATATTTTTCAAAATCTCAAAGCTTCGACTCAAGCCAAATAGACAGGGGTTTATTCAATATGGAAAATAATCCTACGTATGGTTTAGGCGCCAGCAGTGTTCAGAGACGGACGGATAGACGGACGTTTAATGAAAAGAACAACAGTTTTTCGTTATATGGTGACCACAAAACGTGTATTTCCGATGAAATCTCGGAATCGATTTTCCGCAACATTGCATAACTTTCTCTACACTATGTATATTACTCTCTATAAGAACATATACGTGAAAGTAAAACGGTGAACGACTAATTTGCGTTAAACTTTCAGGATGTTTGAAAATTGCGAAAGTTGAAAATAATTGGAGAAAATATATGCTGTTGTAGTGAAACATTTTATTTTAGAAATTTTCTGTGAATTTTTTTTATTTCAATGAAATTTTGGCTGCGTAGCTTTATATTTAAGGACTGGTGATTTATTTGTAACAATTCACTAGTCTCACAAAGAAACAATATTCGTCATATACTTATATACTGACTAACAATAGTTTCTTGGCAAGGAATGTTCTCTTCTCTCATATTCAAACTTTGTGTATGGTATCTCAATTATCTTTGATTGGAAATGTTCGCATTAATAAATTTCTCTTCGATTAAATTAATATAATTGTAATTGAAAACATTTTTGGGGGAAAGTGGAAAATTATTTGAAAGCGAAAAATGACTCGTTTCTATATTATCATAAACCATCAGGTTTCTCAATGCACAACTGACAGCTGCTGGTTACTTTCCCGTATACATACGTATGTACGGAGCAATGTACGTAGTAAATTAGTTGGGAAAGTTACGTAGTAAACTCCCGTAGGGAAAGTTATGTAATGCTGCGCGAAAAACGGCGGATATCCGGGAGAGAAAAAGTCATTGCCGGGCCTTGATAACAGTGAATAAGTGGAAAAAATTGCTAAATTAAGGGCAAAAATTCCCTAACACGTGGTGTAGCCAGAATCCCTGTTTTGTAAGTGCTTGATGCCGAAAAACGAATTGACGGGAAAACGTCCGTCTGTCCGTTTGTCCGACTGTCCGACTGTCCGACTGTGAACACCACTAGCGCCTAAACCATGCGTAGGATGTTTTCCAAATTGAAGAAACCCCTATTCATCTGGCTGGACTTGCGCGAAGTAATGTCTTGTCGACGTAGTGGCTGTAGGACTCGAACGAAATTAATTCTCACGAAAGCATTGCAGCCAGTTCTTTGCGTGCCGGACCAAGCCGGGATGCGCCGGACATTTGTAATGAGTTCCCTGCTTTATTACTGGGGACTCGTACCAGCAATTTTCGGCTCCGTAGACGTCGGCATTGCTGCAAGCCAATGCACCAAAGAGCAAGGAAGTACGATGTGCAAAGAAAGTATTTCCGTAGTTGCAACTTGCTGGTGAGAGTGCTTGTAACAGAAATTATAACGGTAGCTCGAGCTGCAGCTTGAAAATGTAAGTTGCGGACTTACCACAATCATAACAGATGCTGCAAGTGTTGTTCCTTCCAATTATTTCCCAGTGATTTGGTTGCTACCTGCACAAATGTAATTTTTAATAGGAGGCCCTTATTCCCTTATTCGGCTCAGTGTGGAGAGACTTTCCTAGCGCACTATATTATTTGGGCTTCAAAACATTTATACAATTTCACCTCAAGCGTTATAGATATCTGAAGAAAATATTTTCTATGTTGGAATTCCACTAGTAAAATTGGTCAAAGGGCAAAGGTATTGACATTGTTGGTTAGTAGTTCGTTGCTTAGTGAGGAAAAGATCGTCTAGCAATAGGCTAACTTTTTCAACTACAAAAATAAATTCCGATAAAGAACTCTGCCAAAAACAATATTGATGAGAAATTTGTGATCCATGACGAGAAATGTGCACTCTTATCCCAATCTGATATGTGATCAGGTAAGGACTTTTTGTCATCAGAGGTGATGTACCGGCAACGATTGTAATCGAGTCATATCAAATATAAGACTGACGCGAAAGAGTTTATATCGAGGAGTAATTGTTACGTTCTATAGAACGTGAAAACATCACTACTTAAATACCTCATTAATTCCATTTAAACAACAATAATGTTTTCTTTACAGGATTCCTTGATCTCTCGGAATTGTGAAATATGGCAACATCAGACGCAAAGGACTACATTTCAGTGGCCGATTTTTATGCGGGAAAATCTGTTTTTGTTACTGGCGCTACAGGATTTCTCGGCAAACTACTGGTAGAAAAATTGTTGTGGTCATGTCCAGGAATAGAAAATATTTTTCTATTGATACGACGTAAGAGAAATGAAGATGAAGAAAGTCGTCTAGCAACAGTTCTAGGTACTCCAGTAAGTATTTGTAGACGTGAGTGCTCATCGTATCTACCATACTATTACAGTGGCAAAGCTACAGCATGTGACTCCCGAAAACGTTTTATGTCTATAACCTCAGAACTATACTACAATTATGTAATGAGTTAAAAGTGTTTTTAAAATCAATGCCGCAGTTTAAGAATAGTAGATCCTTAGTTCCATTTTACAACTTCAGCTAATGACATGTTTATCATACTTTTTATACGATAATTGTTTGTTGTACAGCATCACAATTTAGCGTACATGGAAGTACAGCTGGTTATAATCCTTCCCCAGTGAGCAGTATCTCACCATTTAGGGCGAATATTCCACTCAGTTCCTGCTTCCGGCAACGACGGAGACTAATGGCAGGGAGTTCTCAGGTAGATACGAGGCTGTACGGCACTACACTCCATCTGACTATATTAGGGCAAGTAGAGAAAAGTATGAAGAACATAACCTATGTAATTAATAAAAAAATAGTATTTGGCCGTACGTAAATCCATCCAGTAACAACAGTGAGTGCCATTACAAACAACATTGCGTCGCTATTATTGCGTCATTGTTGATTTCATTTAAGTGTGTTGTTATCCGTGTTGCACCAGTCTGCAAAACTAAAACACATGTCTTTAATAGTGAAAAGAATGGCTTTTTAAAGTTAGAAAAAGACACCTTTATTATGTTTTTTTACGTTCGTACTTCACACTTTTCCTATCTTCGAGCTATGCGGAGATTTTACAGAATCGGCCCTATTTAGTTCCAATAAAGCGCCGGATTGGCAAAAGAATACTGTAGTTGACAATGTTTATGCGAAATCGCACCTAAAATAGTTATGTCGGCACGCCGAAGACCCAGACTGCTTCGTGAAGGAATACGTTTTAAGGGATTACAGTACTGTACAGCGCAGAAGTATAATAACGAATTATATTGCTCCATGCACCTTCCTTGGTTATGCGCCTGAAAAGAGTACTGGAATGTTTGGTCTTCCAGAGGAGAGAGGATTGATGACGATCCACCGCCGACGCTGATGACAGGTAGGGTGGAGAAGGGTCATTCGTACTCCTCCAACGTTCGCATGATCTATGTTTTTTGTTTGTTTCTTTAAATTTTAATTTGTTGCGTCTATTACACGCAACGTGTAGGCATAGAAGCGTTGAGTGCACCGTGGAATAATCCTCCGTTAATTACCGTAGGAGTATTACTCCGTTTAATTATGCTCCCAGCGCACTCTAGGGGCCGCTGGGTAATCAAGCCACGTCAGTCGCAGTCAAGTCAGGGAATCGTCGACAGGTAGCGTCTTCGCGCTCGCGTCTCGCACGCGCTCTGCGTCATCTACCTATCGACCAGAATTGGGAAGGAATAAGGACAGGGGTAAGAATTAGAACAATTTATAGGCGTCGGATGAGCCCCTGTGAATCATGCTAACTTGTTTTGTCGTAACAAATTTCACATGAGGTTCTGCGGGGATTCTACGGGAACCCGGAACCTCAGTGGTGAATGGCAAACGACGAGAGCATCAATGCACAGCATAGAGAAAGAATTTCTGACAAGAGGAATTAGTGAAAGGTAGATTGTTCGAGAATGCTTCACTCATTTGAAATTTAATGGACTGCAAAAATTGATAGATTAATTGAAGCGGAGCAGTCCTCAAATCCCTTAGATAGCATTGCAGATTTCAGGATGTTCTTGCGGATCCACAGAAACAAAGTAGTGCACAAACGAATTTATTCCTCTCTTCACTGGAATTGATACACAAATACAGTTCAATAATTGTACATGTTACACAGATCAGTTCAATTAACACAGCGATGTTTTCCTACGGAACATTACAGCTGTATGAAGCTGGCGAATCATTCTAATCTGAGGCGGCATGCTCTCTCGCATACAACTCAGGTTAGAATTTCAACTAATAATTACGTTTGAGTAACTAATCAAGTTGTTCGCAGAATCAACGCTATGCGAACTTAATTAAATTGCCACTTACGCGATCCCGTACATGGTAATGACATCAATAACGTGGTAATTACCCATCTCGATCAGGTTTTTGTCCAGTTTTCTTTTCCCATTGAACAAATGCTGAGTTGGCCCCTTGTTTTGCTTCTGGACGTAAATGTAGCTTCACTATGCGCACGTTTTGTTGAACTCTCCTTTTGCTTGTAATGATAAGAGTAGAGGTAAGGGCGAGTTGCTATTATGTTAGCAATGCAGAAAAATCATATTAGCAATTCGTTTACCCATGCAAATAAGTTTTCTAGAACTCGGAAACGAAAATGTCTATTATTTTCAAATATTATTGATTTTGCGATTTTTAAAATTTATTTTTATTTATTTATGTTAAACTCTTACTCATCTTTCAACTATTTATAGTTAAAATAACGGGAAGGGAGTTTGGAACTCAAGAAAACGTGCGCAGATAATCCCCCCCCCCACGTCACATACAGTTTTTACTTGTTTTTTACTGAATAAATCTAGATTAAATCTAGATCAAACATTGCTCCTAAAGAATCCTCATTATTGCAATGCTCACGCTCCATGTGAAGGTAAAAAACATTCCGTGGTTGCGAGCCCGTCTAAGGTAGCTAAGGCTCACGACGTTTCTGACTAGTAAGCCCTAATGTTCAAGTCGCCGAGACGGATGTTTATCACTATCTAGATAGGTTGGTCGAATCAAGCCGCTTTGTGATGAGAATTCGGCAGTGCGACTAGCTGTGCTCATAAGTAATTTTTCGAGATTTCTCTGTTCAATACCAGGGCAATGTCGGAGTACCTTAACAAATGGGCCATGAATCGCGCGCAATATTTTCTTTCACGTTTAAAGAATAAATACTGAAAGGGACTAGAATCCCTATAATAATATATTGACAATCTAGTTTTTACTTATTTATGTTCTTCTTCCTTTGGGTGTGCCAATTGAAAGGGTTTCTTTATTTCTATCTAGCGGTAACTGCTAATTATTTTTCCACATCAATTATTTCTTATGGAATTTCGTTGCTTGTTCAATAACATTTATTTGTATGGGTGTGATATCGCGAAGCTCCTCTTATACAAGACACGGGGTGCCTATTATCGATGGTTGGGAATTGGTTACGTAAGTTATTTTCTCGCCCTCACACTTACTAGGTTGTTGCTGCATCAGCGCAACCTTGTTTATTTAAAATTCGCCATCACCTTGCGGCTGCACCTCGTGGATAACATTTACATATGTACCGCAATCAACCCAAGAACATTGGAACACAAACAATAATACCCTTCTAACAAAATGTATTTATAATCACATTCACACAATTACTAAAAAACATTCACACGGCGCGCATGTCTTTCCCCTGATTTTAATATTTTAATGGCCATTTTAAGAACGATTGTTTAAATGTTCTCCACGCATTCTCATAATTTCAAGTCCAAACAGTCCAAAGTTTTAAGTCCCAAGTTGAAATTGTCACTACTCTTTCGCTGAGTTCTGAAGCTGCCTTACACATCTCCGCTCACACGCCGACAGCATCCAGGATCATCATAACCATTTTGTCAAATTCGTATTTATCCTCCATCGTTTATCCGGAGTGATCATAATTCCACAATTTGACGTACTGTTACCATGACTACCATCTACCGTGCGAACACTGTCAAGTCTACCGGTCTTCTCTTGTTCTTCTGCTTTCATTAAAAAGTTCCACTCAATACAACTGCCATCTATTCCGTTCGTTATTTACTTACTGTTCATCGAATTAATTCTTTCCATCCAAATTTACCTTGCACATGCTTCCCTACATAAATTAAATATATATGTATTCCCATTATTTGATTACCTTTTAATGTGCTTTGAGTGAATGTATTTCGGCATGTTTACTTACACCAGGTTCTCGTGTTGTTTTTTTCTTTTGTCTTATGAGAAAAATTATAATTGATTTCGAATATCTTGAAAAAATTATACATAGGTATTTTTGTCAGCCTAAATTACAATTTATTTATTTCTTTACTCCGGTCTGATTGTAATTACACAGTTCATCAGCTTTGGCGAAGAAATAAATTAATTCCGCTACGCTGCCGAACCCGTCGCTGGTTTTGGCAAACATGTCGCATTTCGTCTCTATTAAAACCAATTTAATTATTATATTTGACGAGTCAGTTTAGACCGTCACAATACCAAAGAATGAACTACATTAAGAAAAATCTCCATCTTTATTAATGTAGTTGTTGAAGAATGTCGAACACATTTTGATCCCTCAATTGAAATTCCTGACTTCAATGCAAATCGGACCTACGTTACGTTATATGATTCAGAAACCTTTTGCTGTATTCGAAAAAAAAGAAGACATTGTGAACATTTTTTGAAGAAATGTTCTTGAAGTGTTTTTTTAAATTTACGTTTTGTATTTGACATTACTAGGTAACATAATTTATGGTAATAAAAAAAGCAAAATATGAACATGTATTTACTTTTTCAAAAATATGTAGAAGAAAATTGAAAATATGTAAAATAAAAATTCAAAGTTAATAAATAGTTTAAAATTGTTAAGTACAACAACAAATTCAATTCATGTTCAAACAGAAAATGTGGATGATACGCTCTTAAAATAAATTTGTAGCGGCTGAAGGGACGTTCCACATCTACAGATGTAATTGGGGCATATTTGAACGTTGATATCTCTATTGGGTTCAGTTCTACTTCCAGTGTAATGGTGACTTTCCCTCCACTGAGAATGTTAGCGATTATTTTCATGTCTTTCCAGTCTGGATTTTTCTTCAACGAATCTTGTAATTTCTTTTTCGTTTTTTCTCCTGATACGTCTTTTAATTTTGCTAATGCACTGTTTATTACTTCAATACTAGCAGCTAAATGTTTTGAGCCTCAAGCATTGCAATAGCATGTACCAGAAAAGTTCTATTTGCAGAAATTAAAGCCACGTTGTTCCTCAGACTGGATTTATTAATCAGAGATTTTGCTTTTTGTAGCAACGCATATGAATCGGACCAGCTTCAAAATACTGTCTTCTATTTGTTCAGTCTTCACAAAAATATTTTGCTTCTTCTAACCACTTGTCTCATCTTGTAATTATCGGCTGTGGAGGCAAATTCAGTACAGGATAACTGTCTTTAAACATTTTCACTCTGCTTGGTCCCCAGGAAATTGATGCCCAACAGTTTCTGTCACTCGATGAAGAGCATCTACAAAGCACGTAAGATGAATTATCTTTGGGTAGAACACTCTTAATGCACTCCCCGCTTTCACCATGTAAGGAACAGCATCAAACTTCATGAATGATACTACTAGGCCACATCAGACCCATCGCGTCATTAAAAAATCTGGCAATTGCAGCGTGTGTGCATTTTTCTAAAACTTCACCACTTAATAAAAAATATGTCGAAAGAAATTCAAGGCATATACTTCCTACAATAATATTTGCAATATAAAATATCTACCTTCAACGTCAGAAGTTTCATCAATTGAAACCCAGACCTTACTAGTTTTATTTCCTCTCGAATTTTAGTCACTTTCCAGATAAATATTTTCCAAATAAATTTTTCTGAATCTGCTTTCATTCGAAATCTGTTTGTTAGTGTATTTTTCTAAGAAACACTTGAAAGCAGGGTCGTTGTCTTATTAAATGGGAATATCAGCTCTAACCAACGCACGACACAAATCGATAAAGAAAACTGACTAACATGATCCAACATCAGGTGAAGATGTCAGGAATGTTTGCTGTAGTTTCAATTTTCTTTCTTTGTTTTCTTTATGTTTAGCTGTAGTGATGTGTTGCGTGACTTGAAATCGTGGGACGTTGAAACCTATTTGTCGCAGCATGCGCAGTACATTACCCTCGAGTCACTTCAAAACGTTTCATTAGAAAACTCGCGAATGTATCTAGCCGCTAACTCTTTCGTTGTCGGTGCGATTTTTGGCAGTCTGCACCAACTCGCATCAGTACACATCAGTTTTCTCAGAACACACCAGTCCACACTACTCAATAAGATTGTTATATGAAACCTAAAATACTTGAAAGTATACAGTGCTGATTATGATGAGCCAGTGCATACGTGACCAGTTGTAGTGGAAAGCTAATACTGGTAGATGCCAAGCTTCTGTGACATAGAGGTATCGCGGTGGGGCGCAGAAAGCGCGATAAGACGGGCATTCTAAACAATGTCCGATTTATATTGTGTTATGCGTATGATAAATGTAACACAAGTAAACATATGCTTGCTTATACTAATGCTTCTTAAGCATCTGTTCATCCTACGCGGTTTCTGGGAAGCAGGGTCAAGGTGTCAGTCGGAGCGGAGGTCAGGAGGACATAAAAGTGCAGTGTTACATCGCTAAGTTAAACAGAAAGACATATTCCGTAACATTATCGGAAAATTCGTATTTGTTGTGCTTCGTCGTACAAGTAATATTCAAATGCAACGAAATATCTTAAAAAATAGTAGGAAAGGGTAAAATATGAGAAAATATGTGCTTATACTAAAATATGTAAAATAAAAATGATTTCAATTCATTCAGAATGTCTAACAAACTTTAGGAAATAAATTCGAAGTAGAAGCCTTGTTCCTATGAAAATGTTTTTACATGAAAATCCGTCCCCTAGAAACCAATATCTCACCACTACCAAACTTTTCCACCTTGTAAGTGGGCTTTACGAGTACTTTAATGAAATCGGGATTTAGAAATAAATTATGAAAAAATAGTACAAATTAAAAACTGGTCATTTTAAGACAATGGATCTATTGAGGTAAGCCCATTATTGCTCATTTAGTTTCTCGCAACTAATTTAGAACTGTAGTCCAAGAATATTGAAAAAAACTACGAAAGAGTGTCCTCTACTGTTTTTACCCCATGGGTAAGTAAAGAAAATATCAGAAAAATGGTTTTATTTGCGGGAGATAGTTGGCTCATAGAGGATACATATGGTTAACGCAGAGGTATCCAACCCCAATTTAATAGTCCCAACCACCACCGAATGGAATTTTGTTATTAATGGTGGCATTATAGATGACTAGGGAACTCAAATTGTAAAAGGTAATGTACTTCAGATCTGTGAAAATTACTCACATCTCAATTAGAATTTTTGTTGTTTCCCAGATCATTTGAGCATTTGCTGAGATGGCCCTTATTTTGCTTATGGACATACAAGTATTAGTAGCTTCACTATGCACACATTTTAGTGAGCTATTCTGTTTCTACTTGAGGTGAGAGTAGTAACATAATAACAACCCACAACACAGGAATTTGAGTTGTTATTTTGTTAGCAGTACTACAAAAGGAAATCTGTTGTTCGTTTACTGACGCATCTTACCTCACCGATGCATCTCGGTTAGAATTTGTACTTTTTAAAATGTGGCTAACCTTGCTTTTTTGATGCTTTAATTGACCAGTAAACGATTAATTATTAAAAAAAGTGGCTAAGAAATTCTTAAGTTCAAGAAAACGTGCCCCCATACAGTTTGTAATGTTCATTAAAGAAAACAAATCAAACCTTAAAGAAACATACCGAAAATCAAGAGCTTAGCTGAAGGATTCGGTTGAAAAAGAGAGAGTGGCAAGGCTTTTCCCTCAGTAGTACATAAGGCAATCAATAAAACTCGAAAATATTACTCTCCATGTTCCAATACACATTTGAGATCACGGTTCCCACCATCGTTGCACTGATCATAGGGAGACTTCTGCAGGAAGATCGGCAGGTCTTGGGGACGACATAAAGCTTGGAACCTGAGTACCAAGCCCCTTGTACCAATTTGTGCTGGTCTTCCCTACTAATATACTGAATAGTATTGTCATGTTTCAAATTATTGTTTCCAGGTCTTCGATCGCTTACGCAAATACAGACCTAATGATCTGAAGAAGATTGTTGTAATATCTGGCGACTTATCGAAACCATTTTTAAGCATCAGTCTGAAAGACCAAGAAATATTAATTAGAACAGCTTCTATAGTATTCCATGTTGCAGCGACAGTACGATTTAATGAACCACTGAAAGAGTCAGTAACTGTAAATACTACCGCTACAAAGTACCTTGCTGAATTCTGCTCGCGGATGCCAAATATCAAGGTGATTAACATTCATCTGTCAGTCAACCCAATTAATTTGAATCCTGAATAATAAATCTCCCAAATTGACTAAACAATATTTTCAGGCATTTGTCTACATTTCAACTGCATACAGCAACTGCGATCGCGATGAAGTCGGTGAAGAATTTTATAATGCTGTTCATGATCCAGAAACTATCATTCGTCTCGTCGAAGTAATGGATGGCGATATTATCGATGCACTCACTCCAAAGTAAGTCATGTTCGAAATGTCGCATCGTAAACAAAAGTGGCGTAATTAATTATTTTCGTAGCAACAGAGAATTAATAAACATAATCGGTTTATGGAGTTAATTTATCGTAATTAATTATATTAAAATTGTATCAGACAGTTACTCATTTAGGCAGGCCTGCACAATGCCTTCTTTTGCGGACATTCTGCACTCAAGGGCCTGGCATCTGCCCGCGAGAGCGGCGAAAGTGCAAGTTAGAGGGAATTGGCTGGTTGGCGCGGGGGGGGGTACCTTCCATTTGCACAGAGGGGTCGTCGCGGCGGTGCATAGATAAAATGCCTTTGCGTCTATGGTAAAAATACTTGTCATGCAATTATTTTCCCACTTATTTAAATAACTAATCCCCCAGACTTTTGGCTACAATCGCCATATTTCACTGTTTATGTTATTCTGTGCAGTGCTTTGAATCGAACTATTTTTCATTTTTTTACTTAATGCTCGTTGTAGCACATAAATAATATCTTAAAGCAGTGGTAAACTTTTAACAATTTATTATGTAATTCTAACAAAAATTTACAATTTAATACCTGCTTTTGACCAGGAATGCTATAATCTCCAAATGAGAGCAAAACGGAGGGTATTGAGAGCGGTGTCACATCGCGGTTGATATAAAAATGAAATATAGGCAATTCCAAGAAGAGTAATATTTGGCAGCCATATTTTTGTGACAGTTTCCCCACATTATGAAGCTTAATAAGTGATACCAACGAGCAATCCTCTCTTACAATATTTTATAATGATATTATTATGAGTCTTCGTAAATAGAATGCAAATGGCTTAATGTTTTAATAAGACGTAAACAATTATGAATAGGGTTCATTGAATTCAAATTAGAAATATATAATGTACTCTTGTAAGAAATTAGAGAAGCAAGTAATCATGATATTATAAGAATAAGATTCTTTTAGCTTTGATTGAACCGCCTTATTTAATTACACATAGTAAATAAAAAATAGTTAATTACTGTCAAACAAAAAAATCAATACAGTATTACAATTTTGTGCTTATTTCACGTTAAATATATGATTACATCGTAGTAAAGCGAATTACATGATCAATACAACAAGCAATTACTTGGTATCCAAATCAAATATATGTCTAATTCTTTATTAGTTCATCGTTCCCATTGTAATATATCGACAATAAACATTTCCAAAATAAAAAGAATGATACTTGAACTGCATTTAGGAGTCGGTCATGTTCTGGCAATTGCTCTGTCAATTTGCGCGCTTCGGTTCGAATTGCGAATTCTTATTGACAGTACCACTCCTTGAACGGGTCTCATCCCCATCCTTTGTAGCTTGCTGTATTTGCCGTCAAGTTTCTCGCGCGCGGCTCCCGAGGTCAGTCAAAGAGCAAAATACTGTGCAGGCCAGGGACTACAGTGAGGATACCATCTTTACTTGAAATTGTAATATTTGAATTGCACGAAAACTCTTATGTTAATAGTGTATAAAATATAAGTAATATTAAAATTTATAATGAAAACAATATTAAAAATTCATAATAATTCATTTTTGTAAGAATTGTTATTTTCAATAATTAATTATTATTAATTTTACTTCAAGGTTATTGGGTAAACGACCAAACACGTACACCTACACGAAAGCTTTGGCCGAGAATGTGCTTCAGGAACATAACAAGAAACTTCCTATTGTGGTAGTTAGACCATCCATAGGTCAGTATTTGAAAACTAAAGATTTTCAAAAACGGAAACTTAAAACCGTTTTCTAGTTTTGTAATAAATTCACTACATTTAATACAACCAATCACATTATCGTTTCAGTTTTATCAACAATTAATGAACCAATGCCTGGATGGATTGACAGTTGGAACGGCCCTTCACCTTTCGTAGCAGCTGGGGCCAAAGGGCTTCTTCATGGAATGGCAGGAGATGCAAGCATGGTTGCTGACGTTATTCCAGCAGACATAGTTGTAAATCTCACCATATGTGCTGCATGGCGCACAGCCTTGAAGACAGGAATTGAAAATATTGAAGTGTACAATTGTTGCACCGGTGAAAGAAATCCCGTCACATGGGGAACTTTTTTGAAATGCTGTTATGAAGCATCGTTAAAAAATCCTCCCGACGAATTAATTTCTTATCCATTCTTTTCTTTGCAACGCCATCAATGCATTCGCTTCATCCAGAAGCTATTTTTCGAGCAATTACCTGCTTTCTTTATAGATTTGATTTATCATCTTGCAGGAAAAAAGGCAATGTGAGTAATATACCCTACACAAAGAATTAAAAACGCTTTCATTTAAATTACACTCTCAAATATAACCAATATTCTGTGTTAAATGAATAAGAAGGAGTACATTATAAAATATAACTGCTATATAAAATTGTGTCACTGACATTAAAAAGCGTAGTGGAAATATTCATATCAGTTTAGATAATAATGATGTCTAAAAAATTCTTATTTTCAGAAAGTAAGTGAATAATTGCAATATTTTCACAATTTTTAATAATTTATATTTTTATAAGTATTTTATCTGCACTTGTCTGATTCGCAAAATTTGGAACTTAAATGATTTCAGAGATCGATAGAATAGAGGATTGAAGGAACTTAATAACACTGATTATTAAAGGCAGAAAGTTGGAGGCGAGAGAATAACATAGACAACGCATGATTAGTCCTGCAAATTCAAATAGACTTACGCGTTCTCATAATAATGAAGCAATAACATTATTTTCCTCAGAACGTTATTACAATTGCGAATGTAAATAATAGGAAATAAAGAAAAGCTACAAATTCGCTGGAAATAAAAAACTACTCATTTTAAATAAAATATTATTTAGGATCAGTTAGCCTTTAAATAAAGGAAAGAATTATTGATGATAAATAATTTATTGGCACATCTCAACGATATCATTTTGACATGTGATCACCAAGGATAAATTTGCACAAAAGTTAGCAATATATAGTTAGAAAAATAAATAGAATGAATTATTGTATCTTTCATGAAACAAATAAGTTCTGTGTAACAATACGTATCAAAGTATTATTTTGAAGGTATGTGATGATGTACGCGAATTATGACATGAATGTATATAAGTATTAAGAACTGTATTGAATATCTGGATATGCATTCCAAGAATTAATACCTACTAGAAAAGAAAATAGCGGTGCTTTCAATCCGCTTTAAGTCTTCTTGGACTGCTATCCTGATTATTTTGCGTATCATAAATTATGGAACACATGGAAAATGAAAGTGGAATTTTAATATTACTCGTATATTACTCTATTTCTCTTTTTGAATATATTTCAAAATTACTTTCTGAAAGTTGAATATATTGCTTATTGTCTTTCTTTCAGTATGTTAAATATTCATGCCAAATTAATAAGAGTGAATGATGCACTATTATTTGCATTATTGCGACAATGGAAGTTTCGAGACAACAACACGCATAATTTATTGACTTTCTTGAAGAAAGAAGACCAACAGATTTTTCCATTTGATGTGTGTAACATTGATTGGCCATCATTTCTCGAAACGTACTATCTGGGAATACGACATTATCTACTCAAGGACAGCCCTAATTCTGTGGCCTACACCCGGAAGCGATTGGAAAGGTATGGTTGACAAGTATGCAACACAGACTTTTTCTTGAATTTAAGATAAACCTAATATAGTTAGTGGTGATACAATAGCACATACCTTTTCGTCTAATTTCTAAATGTTCAATTTTCTATAATTCAGAGAGCTCAACGAAAATTCGATCTGCACCATTCGTTAAAAATTTGCTTTGGAAATTTCCAGCGGTTTGTGAGTAAATGTTTTTTTAAAACTTTTCTTTTAACTTCAAACAGAAATTTCGCGAAACCATTCGTTTTTTTAAACAATTGTACATGACTTTGTTAAAGATGTTATTTCTTAGAACATTCTATTTACAAAAATCTCTATCGTCATTTATTGACTTTTGTAAAGTGAACTTTTTACCATTTTCTAAGTTACAGTTTCCTGAAAACTGGAATACGATCACGCTTTATACCGCTGTTTAATGCATACGAGAATTTTTAAAGAAAAATTTTTGAGCAGTTTTTGAGAAACTAATAGGTCAACGAAAAATTTCAAGAACTCAATTCACATTTCCGCAAAAAGTTCCGCAGAAAAATGTATTTGCGGAATAGTGAAGAGCCATTTTTTTTCATTTCAATTCAGAGTTGGAATTTTCTAGATTATGAATTAATTTTTTTTAATGCATCCCTAATCTTTGACAATTTCCAAAATCCTTTGGATATATATATATATATATATATATATATATATATATATATATATATATATATATATATTTACCCGTGCCGAACCACTTTCAATGGCAGTGACTTGCCCAGGAATCAGCTCTCCTTTATACCGCACCATTGTTAATTCTCTTATCATGGATTGAGAAGATAATGAATTAGGAATCATCACTGGATTAATTGATAATTTTACAATTTTCCGTTTTCACAAGAAACTATATGTATAATTTAACTAATTTAAAGACATACGTCAAAAACTAGAAAATATCGCATTGAATAATAAAGAACTACTGTCACAAAGAAACCCTTCATTTTTCATCAGTTAATTTCTCTTGCAAAAGCAGAAGCAAAAGCTAAGAGAGTCAAACAGTAAATACTGTAGCACTAGATTAATAAATAATGCTGTAAAAGAGTGCGCTTACTTTATTATTCTAAAAGTTTGTACTCTTGAGTTGCAACACAACTTTTCCAAGGTACACAACTACGTGAACGTCGTGACGCAATTGTCCGAAAAAACGAAATAATCAATTATTCAATATTTGAATTTAAGTATACAAATAAATATGGGGTAGATTCGAAATGAAATTGTTCCCCTTCGAAGTATAGCGCGCCAGCAAAGTCTGTGCGCATCGATCCGAGTCGAAGCCCGCCGCCGTCTCCGCTTCCGCCTTCAGCTTCGCTGCTATACGTGCCGTCACCTCGCCCCCTCCCTCCCTGCTATTTCTGCACCACCCTTCGGACGGTGACAGTGCTGCCTGGGTCTCGTAAGACCAACATAATTCCTGTTGCTTGCACTCTCACCAACATGACACTTTCCTGACGCACTGTACTTTCTGGATGTGTTTTTGAACGAGTTAAAGAGTCCGATAACCAAAATCTAATTGTTTTCCAAAAGAGATATTTACATTCGACTATAAAGGTTTTGCACGTTGAAGTTTTTACGCGTGACCATAAGTTACTAAAGTTACCGCGACTTTCGTTTTAATGTTTTGCAAAAACTTTCTAATATACATCTCGATGTTTGTTTCAGGTTAAAATGGATGAACATATATGTACCTTGCCTACTTATAATATTTGCAATATTGTATATTGTGTTTAAATTGTAAATAAAATTGTCAACTTTAAAAGTGTATCCTGCTTGTATGTTCTACGCAATTTCTCATGAGAAGAGGACTTGAATTTGCACCTGAATGTTTCAAGAGACCTCCCAATTTAAATCTTGAATGCATATTTATTCGAAATACCTTAGAAAAATTTATAAACTTCTAGGCCATGTAGAGGGGAAGAAGATTAGCAATAGTTACCAAAGAATATGTGGTGGGTAATTGCATATAAGGAAATTTCAAACGGGACATTTAGCTCTTCTCATATCAAATGTTCGGCAAGTTCCGTTCTGACGCAGTCAAAGAGATTTCTTTTCATATTCAGGCCAGGCTTAAGCTTGGCATACGCCATTTTCGCAATTTTTTCGTAGGTCTCAGAAAAAAAATTATTGTACCGTATCTAACTGAACTTATCAGACCTTTTCAAAAGGCATTTTTTTAATAAAAACGGTGATTTAGAGGAATACAAATAACACAATTCATTTGAAATGGACGTCGTCTTTTGTCATTGAAAGATATCTTTCTTTTTTTCGCGCTATTTTACAAACCTACGTGAAAATATTAAAGATATTTTTAAGAGCAAAAAAAAAAAAAAACGATAATTTTGTATGTGATTAATTTATTTGGGACATGAAATATTTGTTTTTAAATATCAGGAAGCCCTACTGTAGCCCCCCATATTCGTAGCCCTAGGCATTGTGTCTAACGTACCAACTGGTTAATTCGACCCTGTTCGTATTCATTATTTATGATATCTCATCTCTCACCACATGTGAATCGACAAAATTGCTTAGCCCATTTTGGAGTAGGTAATGTCTGTAACATTATGATACAATGGGCGAGATTTGAAACAAGTGTTCTAATGAGAAAATGTGGACCTTTTTCTTATTTTTTTTTCTAAAACGTGAAACTTCGTATCGAAGTGAAAATAAATGCAGATGAATGTGCGAAAGTGTTTGTGCAATTTCAGAATACTACTCTGATTCACATTAAGCACTTATTTTGGCGCTGCATCTTAAATTAAAGTAAGTACAAATGCGTTTGGAATAAATTATTAGATGTAAATGGTAATGTACCAAAGTAGAGATCACTTAAATGACTGTATTGCAATTTAATATTACAATTCTTATTCCTTTAAATTAGTAAGTAAGCAATTATAAGTTATGACTTAATTACAGCAGGAATGCGTATGTTAATATTAAGGTAACACCATTATCATGTAACTTCTTGTGTAATAAACTGAAGAAAATGAATCGAATGTGGCTATTTCTTTCTTAATAATATATTGAGACCTGGAATATAGTATTTGTTTACAATATATTTTATTAATATTGACGCAATGCTTGATTTTAATACTGTAAATAAAAAATATATGATAACTTAAGATTTTACACCTGAATATAAACAGGATTTGTATCTATTACAATGTTCAATCAATATTTTTCAAAATATTTAAGGGGAGTCCAAGGTGCCTCTACTGTCTATATTAAAATGAGAATTTTTGATACGCCTTGTTTAAAAAAATAATAATGGTAGAGCTTTAAAATTTTCACAATATGAATATAGTGTTCTTCTTATCACTTTAATAGGGAAATTTTAATAAATCGAAAGCGTTCCAGGCTTGCCTCATCCTCTTGACAGCTGCCATCTATCGCCGCCCAAAACACGTTTTTTGATGTTTTCTCCATTTTTTGGCTTCCTAATTGTGGATTCGAAATATTACTTTTAAAATAAAGGAATAAAGGAAAGGAAACGTAAAACCTTGTCTTATCTGGAAATTTTCGGTCAAAAATTTGGAGCGATTAAAAAAAAAGAAAGAATTTTAAGCTCTAGAGTAAATACTCGTTTTTACTGGAATCTTTTGGTTTCGAAAAACTTTATTTGAAGTCATTTGAAGCACTTTTTTCTCACAAATGCAATAATGTATGCAAATTGCTGGAAATGGGTACATAACGGCGTGAAAAATATTTTCAAAATATTACACTTGCGAATTTTTTGAAACAAGGCACCAAAGTATACATCAAATTAATTTTATGTCATCTTGGTGAAAAATGCACTATTCGTACGAAAAGTTTGAAGAGAAAAGTTGGAGCTGTTTTTGAGAAAATCTTGTCTGTTATTATTTTTAAATTGCACATATTTCTGGCAATATTGCGCGAAAACTACAAAAAGTTTCAAACAAGATGTACATGGCATTATTGAAAGATCCTTATTCATTCGCGGATCGAACTATTAGAGACGGGAACTGTTTGTCTGTGACAATCTTTCATCCTTTTCTCAAAGCTTGAGCAAATTTAAAAATAAATTACTTTTCTAGATGTTGATATATGTATTACATACATCTTTAATATTAAATTACTAGTGTACTATATAAAGTAAGATGTATCATCACCATTATCATTACCAAACAGTGTATGTGCTAGTCGTGCATTTTTTGCGAACCTGCCAATATTTATAACATCAGAAGAACATTCGCGAAGATCCATTGTCTTTATTACTTGTATGTCATTGCGATAGAGTCTTTTTTATCATGCACGTCAAATGTGCTTCAAAACGAAGATCGTTAAGTTCTGATGTATGTTGCTACGTTACATCCAACATTTGAGCAATTCTGATGTAATGTGATGTTGTGTTAACCTATGCATTAAGGAAGAGATCGATCGCTTTTACCCCATCGGTAACTCAAGGACATTTTTTAATCAAATCCCCTACCTCATCGCACTGCATAGTGTTGATCTATTGCGTTGCGTGGAGTATCAGATGTAGTAAGTGAAGAATAAAACGTTGCTAATGAATTCAGAATGTTGATGAATGTTGAACGGCATGGCAAGTTCGGATGTGTCAGAATTCCGAGTAGCGTCGTCTTTCACCCGTCGGTTGTCCCACTGGCGAGGGCAGCCCACGCGACCGCATATCCTGATGATGCAACGTGAGAATGGTGTCGTGCGCTTTCTGCCCAATGCGTTTGAAATAAAATATTTAGATGATTTTCTATTTTTTCTGCAAGGGTCCGCACATCGTGCAATACCCGAAATATGACTAACACCATATTTTTATCGTCTCTTGTTACATAAGTAAATAAATAAACTAATTTAACATTACAGAACTAACAACTTTACAAAATTTACAAACGTAAGAAATTATTATGAACGGCGAATTTCCTCCGTGTAAGCTTTCATAGCACTGCGCCTCATCT